TTCTCACTCTCGCACGCAGCAGGAAATGGTGTGTGAGACAACTCGATGTGAACAATGCTTTCTTAAACGGAGATTTGCAAGAGGAAGTGTTCATGGAACAGCCCGCAGGTTTTGTTGATCAACAAAATCCAACATTAGTGTGCAAACTCCACAAGTCTCTCTATGGCTTGAAACAAGCTCCAAGAGCTTGGTTTGAAAAGCTTCATCATGCGTTGCTGCAACTTGGTTTTCACTCAGCTAAATCAGATCAATCTCTCTTCATTCAGGTCACCACCAAGTGGACTATATACATCCTTGTTTATGTGGATGATATACTCATAACAGGAAGTGATGAGTCAGCTATTCAGGAACTGTCTACAAAGCTTAACACTGCTTTTGCACTCAAAGATTTAGGAGAGATTGATTACTATCTTGGCATACAAGTTACGAAGACAACTCAAGGTTTGTTTCTTTCTCAACGCAAATATGTAACAGACTTACTATGTAGAACCAAGATGCAGTTTGCAAAAGGTACTTCAGCGCCTATGACCACAGGACAAAAACTCACATCTTTTGGCAGTGATCCAGTGAGTGATGTCCAACTGTACAGAAGTGTGGTGGGTGCATTGCAGTATGTGACAATCACCAGGCCAGAAATCTCTTACAGCGTTAACAAGGTTTGTCAATTCATGCAAACACCTCTGGAAGCACATTGGAAGGCAGTAAAGAGAATTCTGAGGTATTTAGTCAGTACGATAGATCATGGACTTCATTTGAAAGAATGTCACACGGAAAAACTGGATTTAGTTGGTTTTTGTGATGCAGATTGGGCATCAGACATTGATGACCGCAGATCAACATCAGGGTTTTGTGTCTTTCTTGGTTCTAATTTGGTGTCTTGGCAATCCAAGAAACAACATACTGTGTCAAGATCATCTACAGAGGCAGAGTATAGAAGTTTAGCCAGTGTGGTAGCTGAAATATCCTGGCTTCAGTCTCTTTTAACCGAGTTGCATTTTCAGACAGTAACAACACCAATCATCTGGTGTGATAATCTTAGCACAGTGCATCTAGCAGCAAATCCAGTGCTGCATGCCAGAACCAAGCACATAGAACTGGACTTATACTTTGTTCGAGAAAAAGTCATGAGGAAGCAAATAGAAGTCCGGCATGTACCTGCTATTGATCAACTAGCTGATGTGTTCACCAAAGCCATTTCAAGTTCTGCCTTTGGTCTCATTCGTGGCAAACTTAAAGTAGAAGATTTAGCTACTTTAAGTTTGAGGGGGACTATTAAGAAGTCTTAGTTATGAAAGATTTAGTTTACACGTGTAATAACTTCATTGGATAGTCTGTTAGAGGGTATCCTCTAATTTATGTATAAATAAACAATTGTAACAGATTTGAGGTTAATGAGAATTAGTTCTTCTCTTTCATCAGTTTCTCTTTCTCTCTCTAGAAACGGTTGAGCTTGTTTCTTTATATCCCTGGACAAGTAGTTAATACGGTTCACCAGACCGTGACTCGTCGTCAACGTTAAAAAAAAAGGTATAAATGCATGCCTTGTTATAAGT